ATAAGGACCATCAGACGGCATGACTCTTCGTGCAAGGTCCTTCCGAAGGTCGAGTGATTGTCTGGCCTCTTGATGAGCCCGCATGGTAATCCTCTGGAGTTCCAGAGTGGTTCGATCCTCCTCGGCAGGTTCAGCAGAGAGCTGTTCAGGAGAACTGTTCTCAACGTCAAACAAGTCTGGTGGCCGTCTTCCTGTAGCTATCTCCAAAGGAGAATAGCCTGAGACAGTAAGCTGGCAATTTCTTGCCCAAGCCACCTTCTTGACTGCTTGACGAACAGTCACCTTCTCTGCATAACCCTCATCAGCTAGGGCCTTGGCCATGATTGCCCACGTGCGCTTGAAAAGGCGCACTGCGGTCTCAGCTCGCTTAGGCCAAGGAGTCCGTGGTCCACACGGATACGGAGTAATGCCATGAAACTTGTAATAAGACATGAACTGTGGCGTGTAAAAAGCTTGATCTCCTACGATTCCCTTAGGAACGCAGTTGTTCCCCTCTGTCCATTGTCGAAAAGCCCCCAGAGTCTCTGGCGCTTCCAGGCTTGTGAGAGCCGTAGCCCACAGGAGATTTGACGCACCATCAATGATGACCAAATCTAAGTAGGCTTTAGTACCGAACTTGATTTCTTCGTGATCAACAAAAATGAGATCACCGAAGGATGATGCTCTCAATCCTGCGATTCTGGCTCGCGGAGGCGTAGGCACTGAGGTGCTGCAAACACGACAGCCTTTGACATTGCGGTCGTACTTGTCATAGATCTCTCCTGGCAGACCAAGCATGCTGGTCCTGCGTCGAAACTGAGCAGGACTCATGTGGTAATGCTTCACATGCAACTTGTAAAGCTCAACATCATTGTTCAGCTTTTCCAACATGCGCTGACACTGCGGAGAAGCCCTTGAGACCTCGTGGCCTGGCAACGGAAGCGCGATCCTCCTAGGTTCTAGCGACTGTGGCTCTGGGGCCTTCGGAGGACTCGGAGGAAGCAAATCTGCATCCCCCGGTTCGGAAGGTTCGTACTCTTGAAGATCCGGATCATCCTCAGGAGCAAGAGGAGGAGGAGCCGGTTCCTCGGGTGCCTTTCCCTGTGGAAAGCTTCCCTTGGCTCGAATCCTTCTCTTTGCCGGTGCCTTTCCCTGTGGAAAGCTTCCGGATGCTCCTGTGTTCTTCGAGCTGTCTTCAGGCTTACCTGCGCTAACCATGTCCTCTGGAGATCCTACCTTTCCACGGGTTGGATCCTTGGACTTAGCTGGCACCGAGGTTCTACTCTCGATGCCACCAGGCAGAATCTTGAAAATGGTCTTGCCTTTCCAAGAATCAGTAGTCCTTGTTGAAGAAGGCTCAGAAGAACGCCAGTCATCTTCTTGAGTAACGCTCTTTCCCTTGGAGAACTCCATGATCGTCTTGCGCTTGGTGTCCAGATACTCCAACGGAATTGGCACATAACCCGCCTTGGGTTCGTACTTGACTCTTCTCATCTTCTTGTGGATGCGAATCATTTCCATGTCGGCTTCGTTGATCACCCATTCATCATCTGTCGCCAAGACGAGATTGTCGGGTACCTGTTCATGAGAACAGCATCCCTCGGTCTTCTGATGGAAGCCGTACTCGTAGTGGGAAAAGTAGGTGAGGAAGCTCGACTTCTTATGCTTGCTGAAACGCGCATTCCACATCAACTGACTGAGTTCCAGAAGATCAAGTACCAGGTGTGAACTAGGTGCTACCTTCAGCCTCACATCCTTTTCCCAGCACAGGGCTGCTGAGCAAGGCCTTTTCCGGATGGAGCTCGAACTGGAAACGAAGATTGCGCATCTGAGGTAAGGACATGAGAATGGGAACATGCCCTTGTTCCACAATGTCGAACTCTGTGGATTGAACTGCAAAGTCCCGGTCGTACATGCAAATGACCAACTTCTGGTTGCATTTGGTCGACTCGGAATTGGCAAAGGTGAACTGAGAAGTGGTCTCAGCAATGGTATACCAAATGCCACAGTTCTTATTCTTGTCACAGAACTCCATGAGGTCCTGTGCGGCCACTCTTGAAGCCATTGCTCTCGTGCATCCCAAGTCCAACACCATCGCGGTCGGCGTCAAGGGCTGAGAGATGAAGGCTTCTTCGATCTCATTGATCTTCTCTTCGGTGGCCATGAAAGAAAGGTTCGGAGAGTCAAAATGCTCAACGAAGAAGGTTGTGGCGGCTGTGATGCCGCTCTGGGCAGCATCAGCAAGCTGGGCCTGTCCGTCTTTTCCGGACTTTCCATCTTTTCCATCCTTGCCAAACTTGCTCTTTCCTTTGCCCTTCTTTCCTTTCTTCCCTTTTCCTTTGGCTGCATAGGATTCCTCTGACTCATACCAGGACCAGTCATCCCAGGACTGATCGTTCCACTGGTAATCTTGCCATTGTCCTTCTGCTTGCCATGCTTCTGATTCTTCGGCAAGATGTGACTTGCCTTTCTTCCTTTTGAAGAAGCGCCTTCCTTTGGATCCTTTGCCACCTTTTCCTTTGCCTTTGCGGTGGCCCTTGAATCCGCGCCTCATCTTGCGGCCTTGGAAACGCCGCTGGAACCATGAGTAGTTCTCGTCGTCGTAGACCCAGAAGGCGTCCTCATCCGCTTCGAGAAAACCTTCCGTGCCATCCTCCTCGTCCTCGACCCAGTAGCCTTCGTGATTGTCCAAAAATCCTTCATCGATCACAAGGAACGTCTTACGGCTACCGTGGCCCGAAGGAGCGAGGAGTGGGTTGTCGACGGTAGTCTTGGTCGTGCAGAAGATCTCCAGGTAGACTTCACGCAGTTCGGTCGTATTGTAGTCAGCTAAAACTCGGTTCCGATGCGCCATCAACGATGTCAACACCTGCCGCTGATCCTGCGTCAAGTCGGACAGAGAGACAAAAATCAAAGCAACGAGATTGGCCGTGATCGGAATAGTCCGAGCATGCTGCTCTCTGAGCCGTTCGTTGGCTCTCTCCATTGCCTGAACTGGCGTGATTCCTTCTTGTTCTTCTGGTGGAAGTCCTGCTATGAAAGCTCTGACCTCTGCATTGTTCGGGTCCTCGATCGGCAGATAGGTATCGTTCCACGCTTCTTGCATTCTCTGAACAGAGAGTTGAAACCTGGTAATCCAACGAAGCATGTCTCCGTTCCCACGGTGCATGTTCATGAACTGCTGGAAGCGATAGAGAAAAACATTCGCTGCTCCCTTCACGAAAAGCGGCCGCAGGAAACTCTTGAAGTACTTCACTCCGTTGTTCGGGTCCTTCAGGCGATCTCTGTCGAGAAGTCTCTTGTGGATTGCTGCTTCACCTTCTAGCCGATTTCTCAAAGCTGGTCCACGCTTATCATTGTCTAGCTCAGTAATGTCACACCAGTCATCGATCGCATCTTCATAGGCAAACCAACTGCTTCTACCATCATAAGATGGAGGTACTTTGGTGGTCACCTGCTGGAAAGCTGAAAGACGGTGTAGTTCATTGAGATGACGATGATTAGTCGCGAAAGATTCATTGCCGTGGAGGAGGTAGTCTTCATCTCCTCCTTCATGCTCAAAGATAGTCGCAGAGTGGCTAGCCATTGCGCTGTTCTTGGATCGAGCCCCGGGAGAAACCTCTTCCGGTTATCTTCACCTGAGTGAAGTGTGCCGGAGAGACTCCGGTCACCTTCACCTGAGTGAAGCACACCGGGTATTCCGGTTGCCTCCACCTGTGTAGAGAGTACCGAACGGGTACCTCCACAAGTGTGAAGCTTCCCGTTTCCCGGGAGCTCCGCTACCACGCTGAGATGTAACCTGGACGTGTACCCCCTCGCTAGGCGTACAGGAACACAGGCACTCAGGTGTCTCTTTTGCTACAGGCCCACAGCTGTAGTCCACTGCACTAGAACCTTGAGCAACAGGCATGGATACATGCAAGTGATACGTGAAACAGACAGGCACCTGGATGTGTAACATTCAGTGTTTCACCCCCCCCTCCCCCCCTTCCCCCCCCCCACCTCTTCCTGCACCTCCTGGCTTGGCCCTTGCTTCAATCCGCTGCTTTTCCTTCTTTCCAGGTTCCTTCCGTCGCCGTCCGCGGCCGCATGACCAGCAAAAGAGCAGCAAGGCCGGAAGATGGCGCTCGCACAATCGACGCTCACCCGTTTCGAGGTTGGGGTTGAGAGGCCCGCCTAGCATGCTGTATACAACATCCGCTACCGCCTCGCCCTGCCGCTACAGAGCCGAGGCGGGCGGCGTAGCGTTAAAATTACATCGAGAGTGCCCAGATGCATGGTAGGGAGACCTGCAGATTACGACCACTAACCGATTGCACCGAGATCAAGTATTTGATTGCAAGAAATAAACCTGCTACAACACGTGCATGAGCATTGGTGTGGCTGCCGCAAATGCCGATCTTCAAGGCTTCGGGCTGCAGGGTGCCCAAGAAGCCATCCGCTGACGAGAAAAGCCGTGCATTCCATCGCCTAACACCCTCCGACAGCATGTACTTTGCTCTTCACGAAGCACACACGGGTGAGGAGACCTCAGACCCTGCGTGCTACTACGGACTGACCCTGCAAGCATCTGGAGACCTCAGCGGGCATTTCTAAACAACAGATTTGTTTGCCAATGCAGCCTGCATCACCCATTTGCAAGGACCGGAGCGCCAAAGGCTGCTACAAACGAGAATCTTCAACAAAGCGGGCGCCAACCTGGCAACAGCTTCTGCTGCAACTGTTATTGATCCCCGTCAGTGGATTGTGTGCCTCCCTCCTGCCTCCTGGTATACTTTGCACATCTTTGCAAAGCAGCTTCCGAATACCGTCCGCAACCAATGCCATCAGAAAGAACGAAACAAATAAAAAAGTAAAAATCAGACGTCAGTGCCGCTGGTTTCGAGAACCCGATTTGTCTACACCTCAAAAGCAGTCTAAGAAGTGCACAGCAAAGATGTGTAATTCCCGGCCACGAGTCCAGAGGCCGATCAACCGCGTCAATTTAGGACATTGCATACATGACACTTGCATGCACTGGCCTTGCCAAAGACAGCGATAGCAGTTTCAAACCGATCCTGCAATGCGAGGCACAAAGTGGATGGGCAAACATGAGCAGGCTGCAAGGCTCTTCTCTCCTGGAAGTCGATAGGTTTGGGTTTGCTCGGTGAGCGGGAAGACGCAGGCGGTGCGGCCTAATACATTTCGAGTCTCGAGGGGTGGATTGCCTCTTGGGGCGAGAAGCGCCCAGGCCGACTCCGGGCATCTCACGGGTGAGGGCGATGCCATTGATGCCGTCGACCCAGTAGGCCCAGTAGGCCCCGTATTCGAAGGGATCGCCTTCGGCTTGGCCTCTGACCTCGCAAAGGCAGCCGGGCAGCTTCCGAGCTTCCGCCCGTGAGCTCCCGTCACTTTGTGTCCGAGCAGCGCTGGAGATGCTACCGTCACCGGTGCTGCAGTCTCTGATGGCTGCAGTGCCAGACCCGTCGGAAGCGGGGTATTGCACCTCACGCAGCCAAACTTGGCGGAACTCTATGCTTGCAACTCTGAAACGAGACGGGCGCAAGGCATAACTTCAAACCCGCAAGCTTTGCACAGGGTACCGTTGGACTATGTTGGACTGTTAGACACAACGATGTCAGGCCCTGGCGAAGATGAAGCGGATCCGTGTCCAACGCGAGGCTTCGGAGAAGCCATGACTCCAGGAGCTTCTCTCGCTCGCGCTGCATCATCCTGAAAAAGCATCCAAAATCCAGACCAAGCGCAAGCAGGATTGGAACTCAATGCACGTCAAGCTGAATCGGGGATGAAAACCTCGAGATCTTGGAGCTTTTTGAGCACTTTTTGCAGCTGTTCCTCACGAGGTCATGTGTGCCCGCAAGACCACGGACTCCAATCAAGGCCAAGCAAAGGAGGCGAGGCTCCTGGGCAGCCTGGTTCATGAGCCTCGGACTCAGTGGCCGCCCCCACAGAACATCGTCACAACTCCCAGCTGAAAAGATTTCGCTAGGCTTGTGGACTTCTGCTTGCTGAGTGCCTGAAAGGACGGAGCGAAGCAAGGCCGTCCGGACATGGTAGCGTTCCGAGTCCCGAACTTTCTGCACCGCCGCATCATCTGCCTTCTGAGCTACCCACGCAGCAAAGTGAGAAGGAACCTCTACGCATGTTTACACCACCTCCAAGCTGCCGCGCGCCTGCCATGCACTGACATCGAATCGGCACTGAAAAGACAACATTGGGTCTCTGGCATCGCGTTTGGTGAGCAAGCTCTGCCGCTCCTGCCGCTCCTGCAGGCCTTGACTTGGTCCCAAAGGCGCAGAGTCTGCGGAAAGCGCAGCTCAGCCGTCCACGGGCCAAGTTGGCATAGACATTCGCGTTGCCCTCGCCAGGCTCTGGACGACTCTCCGGACGTTGTCGCTATGACGCTGCGAATTGGTCTGAGCTTGTTGCTTGCTGCGTTGTCGTGGACTGTAGCCTTCGCATCTTTCCCCAAAGCGCATGCTGGGTACTTGATAGTTTGCTAACATCAGCTGCCTACTCAGGCCAAGAAGCCAGGAAGCAGGGTCGGAGACCTTCTGTTCACTGACGGCTCACGAGGCTTAGCTGCTCACTGCTCGGAACTTGGCCTCCAATCGGGCCTCACCAAACAGGTCCCCGGGTGCTTCGAAGGTGCTAATAAGAGACCTGCGGAAGTGGGGATCTGACTCTCAGAGAAGACTCGACACTCGACTGACGGCCGAGCGGTGCCGGGGTCCGGCGGCCGAATGAGAGCTCCTCGAATCTTGCATCACGCTAGCTCGTGGGGCCCAGCAACTGCCAGACTCGGTGGTTTACGTCAGAAACTTGCAGGAAGTGAGAAAAAACACTCTACGCGCAGAAAACAAACATGCCAGACGCCATCAGAAACCCTCGTCGTGGAAAACTCTGCTTGAATGAGCTGGAGCATGGAAATGTGCTAAAACTAGTCATATGCACACATCAGAGCCAGCAAAGCTAGCAGCTAACTAGCAGCTAACTGTCTTTCAGCCACATTCAAAAGCACTCGCAGTGACATGGATTCACTTGTCCTTTGGTGTTAGTTCGTGCTGACTCCTGGAGGGCCACCCCCCGCCGCCACACAGCACTTGCAAAATAGCTAAGATGCTGTCCTGCACGTCTGCCCAGTCCTGGCAGCAGCTCGCCACAACTCCTCTGACACGCCAGAACCTGCAACCTTGCCTGTGGAAGCCTGATCTGGGTCCCACGCACCTGCACAGATCTGCACAGAGTGCACTGGTATGCGCACGCTTGCCGCACTGATGTGACGTGCTCTGCAGAGGACGGGTATGGACGGGTGCCATCCCCATCAGCTCGACGGTTTCGGAAGCATCACCCCGCGAGTCGGCATACCTTGGACCCAGAGGGTTCGGATTCGAGGCGGATGGCATCTCTTTCAGCGCAGCACTTTGTCGGATTTTTCGAAGCTTCCTGGAAGACAGCAGCAGGTAAAGAACCAATGGCGGCAGAAGCCGAGGTAGGCCTTCAGTGGCTCGCAGTGCTCGAAAGGCAAAGCATCGCAGCGGACCTGGCACTCAACCCAACCAGGGCCGCCCCCCCTCTCCGCCGTATCTGCCCCTGCCTCTATGGAGATCTCCCCACTGCCGTCCAGCGGCAAGGTCCGTCGGTGCCAAACACCTGCGTGCTGCGCTTCGCGCTGCCATTTTCCGATTATCTCGGAAGCCATGGCCTTTGCCCAGCTCTGCTGTGCTCAGGACTGCTTTGCCCAGGCTTCGCGAGCCGTTGGCATTCATGACCTGCAACAGGCGAGAGGGCATCGGCTATCGCAAGATATCGCACGTATCAGCTTTTATCGACCTCGAGCACCAACAGTTCAGCAGACCCTGCGTGCACAAACCTGAGAGCTGAAGCATCACTAACACTGACATGATATGGCTAGGTATCACAAGGTCCGCACTCATTGTCCGTCGCCCAGACAGGATCACGGTTGTTGGTCAATGCCCTGAGCTGGAAGTGCCATGTGAGAAACAACGAATGTTCGCACAAGTTGCGTCTACATGTTGCAACAAGCTTTCGCGGGGTGGCGCGTCCGTAGCTATTTTTTCGGATCCTTTCCGGTGTTGGCGCAAGAACTGCTTTGCCCACTAGCGGTGTCTAGCGAGTCTAGCAGACCGTCTAGTTAGACTGCCTGTTTCTGTCTGACCCAGCAACATATCGGAGCTCTTCGTCCGATTTCTCGCCTGGTACATGGCCGGAGGAGCTGATGCTTCTATATGCTTCAACGCGTCGCCCACCTCTGCCTTCGTGCTGACGGGATGTGTTCGTCATGTGCAAAGACAGAGCATCGGGCACCCATTGCTCGTACATGGCCACCGAGCGCAGCCGTGCATGTGTGCAGCCCTCTTCTCTCTGAAATCTCAGTTCAATTCGCCATCTTGCAGTTGGGGCAGAGGCAGAGAGGAGTCCAAGGAGTCCATGATCATCTCAAGCGGGTGCGACGAGGGAGAGTTCAAGGATTTCATCGGCGACTTGGGAGCCATGGCCAAACGCGCGAGCTCCTGCGCTGCGAGGACCTCGCACTCTCGAGCAGAGGGCCTTGCAACAGGCTGCCGGGACGTCAGGATACAGACGACGTTCCAGAATCGCTCATCTCTTCTTTGCCAGGCTATGTTTGCCACCGGCTCAGGCAGAACCTTGTGGCTCTCAACTTGTCGGCGACATTCCAAAGGATCATCGCTGTGGTATGGGAGATCTCCATAACACATTGAGTACAGCACTAGGCCTGCACTCCACATGTCGCCTTTTTCACAAAGTTCCTGCCTTTGTAGTCGCTCTGGTGGGCAGAACTCCACAGCATATCCGCCGTGCTCCGATAAGGGACCTTCTCCGATAATGTGACATGTGCCGAAGTCGGACAGCATCGGCCTGGGCAAAGTGTCAGTCTCGTCCATGTGAAGCATGATGTTGGACGGCTTTAGGTCCATATGTAGAATCCCACGGCAGTGCAAGTGGTCCAGGCCGCTGCACATGCCTCAGCGGAGAAATAAAGACACACACAAAGACACCACCCGTTACAGAGAAGAACCAATCGATGGCTAGCGCTGAGCTGCGGCCGTGGTGCCATGGAAGAAGTGCCAAATGAGCTCCTCAGTGAGCTCCCGAGCTCGCTTGGAATTGTCCGATCTGCCTCGAATGAAACCCGGGGTTCTTGGCCACAGGAAGTTCTCCATCGAGCCATAGTTGCAGTACTCCTGAGGGCAGCCAGGAACAGCAGCAACAAAAAACAAACGTTGATCTGGGGGTGCCAGCAATGCTTTCGTTTCTGAGCGTTCTCCAAGTCGCCATTAGGATGTACAAGAACGGCACGTATGGACAGAGCTCTGAATGTCGGTCGATCTCCAGCCATGAGTGCTTGTAATCAATGACATTCATGTGCCGCAGCTTCTCCAAAGCTTTCACTTCCCGCACCACCTGCCGAAGCCTGTTGGCATCATCTCCCAAGGCAAGTTTTTTAACGGCAAAAAGTCCCAGTTCGATTTCGTCCATCATGTGTGTGCACAGATACACGGCCCCGAATGAGCCCGATCCAAGCTTCCGTTCTTCACGAAAGAACCGGGCGTAGTAGCCAGTATTGAGTAGACCTACAGCAATGCTGTGCAGCTGTGCCATTGCAGCTGTCTCTTCCTCACCAGCATTGGTGGAGAAAACCTTTCGTATGGTTTCCCAGTAGCCCTCCACCACGAAGGCCCAGGACTCGCTCAAAGCTTGCTTGCACAACGGACAGGAACTGTGCCGTCGGTTGTGAACGAGCACCTGCGCCTGCTCCGTGGTCAAGCGTCGGGCGAAAGCCAGCTGACGATGCGCATCGTAAAGCACCAACTCACGACCGCCTTGCAAGCCCGGGTCACCCATATCCGGACAACTCTTTCGACAAGTTGTTTCAAATTTGTCCGCAAGCGGTTTAACAACTCTGCGTTGTACTTGTTTTGTGTTTCGCTGGAAGAAGCCAAAGCACGGTACAAGATGATTTGCATCTCATCCGCAGAGTGCTGGGCCATGATGTGGGCATGTGCGCCAGGTTCAAACTGCAGCCAGCCGGCCTGAGCACTGCTGAACTTTGGGATTTCTCAACACGACGAGACTTCCTCCGCATCCGGACCCAACTTCCGAGCCTGGTTGATGCCAATGTTCGCGCCTGGTGCCATCACCGCCTCAGAGGGCTGACCGCGCGGAGGCTGCCAACGAAAGAACACCACCACTACCCCAACCACTCCTGATTTCTCGCTGCTGTCCTACTCAACAACAGAGTAGTTGGAGTAGGTAGTGGTGCCGCCACCACCACTACCTACTCCAACTACTCCTCCTCCTCCTCCTACTCCTATTTCTATTCCTTTCCTACTCCCACTCCCCTCCCACTCCTACTCCCCGCCTACTCCTACTCCTACTCCTACTCCTACTCCTCCTCCTCCTCCTCCTACTCCTACTCCTACTCCTACTCCTACTCCTACTACTACTACTACTACTCCTCCTCCAACTACTACTACTACTACTACTACTGCTACTACTACTACTACTACTACTGCTACTACTACTACTACTACTACTACTACTACTACTACTACTACTACTACTACTACTACTACTACTACTACTACTACTACTACTACTACTACTACTACTGCTACTGCTACTGCTACTGCTACTGCTAATACTACTGCTACTACTGCTACTACTGCTACTACTTCTACTGCTACTACTGCTACTACTGCTACTACTGCTACTACTGCTACTACTCCTACTACTGCTACTACTCCTTCTTCTTCTACTACTGCCACTGCTATTAGCAACCCACCCCCTACCAACTACACTTGCTCCATCCGGGCTGAATAGTGGCAGCTTCTAGGCTCCCACACTGCGACAGCTGAAGAAGATGCAGGGGCTCAGGCTCCCTATCTGTGACAGCTGCAAAAGTTGGTTGCAGAGGCTCACTTTCCTGAACTGTCACAGCGGGTGAAGTCGCAGAGGCTCGAGCCCCGAAACTGCGACAGCGGCTGGAGTTGCAAACTGAACCACAGGTGGTTGGATAGTACCAAAATGCTGTCAACATGGTGCAAAACGCAGGTGTTGCCAAGAAGGTTTATAACACCCATAATACCTGAAGCGCAACATCTCATGAACATGCAAAACAAAGATGCCAGCTGTACATGCAAGGGCGCTCGCCACCACCCCTAAAGCCCAGACCTCAGGAGGGTTTGCTTTTGTAGTGTGTGGTGTGTGCTTGTTCGGGGTGTCCGCGAAACAGTGTCGTCATCATCCCCAGAAAGAAAATCTCCCCCCACTCAAGTTCGAGTGTTTGCCCAAAGCGCTCCGAAATCCGAGGTTCGAGTTCGCAACGTCCAGAAGATGGTACGACATCACGAAAAACTGTAAATCAATACCAAGTGCAATGGCTCTTTTGGAGATATTGGTGGAGGTGTCTGCGTAGCAGTGCCATCATCACACACCCCCTTCACCCCGTCCTGTCAAAAACAAAATCTCCAAAAATCTGAAGATCTAGTTTCCAAGTCGACAATTCGATTCTGAGGCTACACAGGATAGTCCGACATCACGAAAGTACTGTAAATACCAGTGAAGCTCTTGATTGGCCTTATGACTACGAAGATGTCGATGATCTCTGCTACCGTTGCTGCGTGTAGTAAGTACTGCACACTGAAGCTTACAAGTCCTTGCTTGCTGCGTGCTACAGTACACTGCACTAGAGTACATCGCATGGCAAAAGCAATTCTAGTTTGAAGTGTATCGTCCTCCAGGAACCGCGGCGAGAGCCGGCCAAGACCAAGACCAGAGCTTGTGCAGGGGCCCCGCCCTGGTGCCTCAGATCGCTCTGGCTGAAGCCCTCCCGCATCCTCCCGCCATGAAGCCATAAAGCCTGTTTCTTGCGACTGGCTGGGGGTGCGGCTAGGCTCTCTTCTGCCAGGGCCACGACCTCCTGAGAGGCTCATTTGCGTTCAGAGAGAGAGAGATTGAGAGATCTGACAGTCACAGCGACGTCCTGAGAGGCGCCATGCACATCGGCCGCATCCTCCCGCAGCGCTGAGTGAGTTGGCGAAGCCTCCTCCTTCTCGTCCCGGACACTCCACATAACAGGTTGGATAAAAGATGCTCGTGGACTCATGCACTGTCCACCCCAGTGACTTAAATTTCACATATCATGCGTCTGTCATGCAATGTCTTGCGACCCGAAATATGCAACTTACGCAGCTTCGGTGTGGCTTTACTCCGAGCGCAGCAATCAAAATGACAGAACTGTGTCAAAACAAAGCATAAGTAAGCATGGCGGCTTGTTTGGTCGCAAGCCCTGAGCTGCAAGAGCCGCAACGGCAAACAAACACGACATAGTCGCGTGAGTCAGGTGCAATGAAGTGGACTGGACGGTGAACCAATTTCGGAGTTCACCACGGTGTTTGCCACTGATGACCTCCGGCACGTACCACGACATACCTCTCAGGCTGCTGCAGGGTATTGCAGGGTGGGTGAGTGACACGATAACCGATGAGAGGGCGACGGATCCAGAATGTCTCCGGCATCGGAGCTCCTGCAACAAAAAGAGCGGACAGAGCGGTCGGCCTCAGCATGAGAGGAAAGAGCGCCTCAGGTCGTGGGCCGCTCGGATCCGCAGACAAAGCGTCAGTGGCGTCTGCGATGCGTCCGGCTCGTGCATGTCCTGACAAGGGCGCGGCTCGAACTCCTCTTTCATCTACCAATTCCAAGCTTGCCCGTCCGTAAAATCTTTCAAAATGACGTCTGACTGTCTTGGCTCAGTAAAGTGATGCAACCCGACTGTATAGCTCCAATCCATGCGATCATGCCTCCTCAACAGAAAACAAGTCTCTTCAAACCGGCGCAGGGCTGACAGCTTTACGTCAGCGGTTGAGTCATTACCTTCGTCATCCAAACCTCAAAAGGGACATCGGCACCCGCCATAGATTTCCATCCGGTCCCCGTGGATCAAAATCCCCGAACTCAACCGGAGCCACGTTCGAATGTTTCGCATTTTGTACAGAGCCAGTCCCTGCTTGGAAAGTTTGTTTGGCTCGAGTACACTGCTTACTATGCCCCGAGTGGTTACAACAGCGCCTTTTGAATTTACTTATGTTGGCCAGTCGGGCCTTTGCGAGCGATTGACTGGAGAGTTTCAATTCACATCTGTCGCCGTTTGCTTCGGTGAACGATTGTTTGGGATGTGTAGGTAACCCAGGTGTGTATACTGTATATTGTGATGTATACGGTCTTGTTCGGTTTGTCGGCTATGTAATCACTACCCATTGGTCGTAGGCATCGAGTTGTTCCCAACAGAGTCGCCGGCACCCTTGTTCTCGTTCTTAGCGTCCTACTTAACACGTGCTGAGAAGGATGTCCACCATAGATCTTCCGTCGTGAAATACAATGGTCAACCCCCACACCACTTTCTCATGGAAAACACACACACACACACACCGGCAAAATATGGGAAATCCGACTGACCTGAAAACCTAGGCACCGTTGGCTTCCTACCTCACGCCAAACTCCTGCCACATCCTGCTACTATCACAAAAGTATTCTCAGGTCGGACACGGCATGCCGGGCTGTCGCATCAGCAAGAGACGATCAAGCCAGGCGTTTCCTGCTAGTAAGCGTTGCGCATGTCCGAAAACTCGATACATACTCCGAACGCCGTGGCGAATGCCGAGAATGAACCGACTGTGGCATGTGGCATGTGTTCGATGGGAAGTGGGCAAATCCGTCTTCGGTAGAAGATCGAAAATTGAAACAAGAAGCGGTCGACCGAAACTAAGGCGGTCGACCTAAACTCAGGGTTTCATTCACGAAAGCGTCATCCACCCTCTTAGAGGATATGGGTACATGCCCGCCGGATACAAGCTCTTCGAGCCGGAGAATTTTATCATCGCATCCTGAAACGAGCCCTCCTCCTCTGTAGAGGTCCCGGTAGCGTGTTCTGAGGATTTGGCTCGACTGATCTCGACTGCTTCGCTGCTTAGAAAACGATTGCTCCACTGCCCCATCACGATCTCGTGGCCGTCAGTCATAATGAGCGTGAACGAAGATGCATTGGAAGTTCCTCTGGCGTCGTGTGTGTGTGGGTGCGTGGAGCAGAACTTCATGGGCTGCCACGACCACGAGGACGTGTTTGCATGACACCCGGTGGTGCGGTGCCGCCCACAGGCTCTCACAAAGTGTTTTGGTGACAAAGCGAGCGGGCTTTTCGCATTCGTTTCGTCTGCAGCGGAACTCATCAATATGAGGTTAGAAGTCCACTTGATTATTCGTTAACGTATCTCAAAGCCATGGAGCAAGGTAACATCCTTCGTGCCTCATCCTAGTACTTTTGGCAATGCAACACTAAATGACCGACTCTAGCTGCGATTGGCAACCTGTTTGCAATTTGCGCGTGGGACACCATCTTACGGCTTACACATCCTTGCACACCATTGCTCCGAGCGCACCACCATCTCGCTCTAAACGAAGCGTTGCGTCGAAAGCACGATCACGTTGCACAACAGCTGCGACTCCAACCCAGGAAGTCCAACACCTGTGGATGTCTTCAAACACGGTGCCGACGAATCTAAACCTACACCGGCAGACTATGTTCATAAACTGAAGATCGGTACAAATGCCCTTGGCATCCAACCAGCCGGGTGCACCGATACCGCCAGCGTCAAAAATGATCAGCCTGTTCCTCAACGCGATATGTGCATGTCCCTGCGTCGGCAAAAACGCACCTTCTTGCTGGTGCCGTGACCCCTGTCTCGGCGACAATGGCGCGGCGGCGGTGGTCGTCGAAGGTAACTCGGGCTTTTCTGGCCCGATAACATCCGATATCTACAGGAAAGATTCGATGCGTAGCGGCGTAGCATGCTTTCAACCGGTTGGCAGGCGCTTGCGCCTCTCTCGGTCCCCCAATCAAACCACCCGGGCTCCGATTCTTCGAGGATCCGCTTATGTGGTGCTCTCCGTTCTGCAGACGTGCTCTCCACCTACGGGGGCCGTGGCTGTGGCCCGTATCATCATAGATGACAACTACGACCGGGTCTCCAGCGGAGTCTGTGTTGAAAGGGTACAGTGCAAACTGAACCCAGCCACGCCCATAGTGAGTAGCAGCCGCTTGCGTTCTAGGAGAGCGAGACAAACCATGTTGCTCTGAGTCGACAGGAATTCTCTCAAACTAAACACCAAAAGCTGTTTGAGCTCCCTGCTAAACATGTAACATGTAATCGTTCAACCCCAAGCTACATCGGATGATCATCGGGAGTACGAGCAAGACAAGTGCAAGCCAACGATCGATTCTCCACAACGTGCGAGCCTTGGCATCGCCTGCTTTCGCGTGTGGCACATTCGTTGCTTGTCCCAGCGCTGTTGCCTTCACACTGGCACGTCAAAGGGATGGCACTGAGAAACTACTTGGACTTTCACCTTCTCACTACTTACTTACACTCATTCGACGTAGTACACTTACGCTCAATGCTATGCGATGAAACTCCCAAACCGGCGGCCTCAATTCCAGGCCCCAGGCACGGAACTGATCCTCTGGCAACAAATGAGCTCATCGAACACTTGATCGCTTCATTGGGAGTTTGATGATGGTTGATGGCATCCTTGATGCGGCACAGCAAGCGTACGGAACAGCCCATCAAAGCCGACGACCTTCGAGAAGGGTTTACCTGTTGCCTGTTGCATCACAGTTCGCGAATGAGGTAGTCGAGGCTTCCGCGGGAGCTCGTCGGTCGAGAAGCGACGTGGAAAAGGCCCCATCGCCTGTGACCAGGTTACTCCACATTGCTCTGCCAGGGCACCATGTTTGCACAGAACCTCGTCTGTTGAGACATGCTGCAAGACGCTTGCTTGCCGTAGAGGCCCAGCAGTGCGAAGCACCTGACGAGCATGCCGCCTCAATGCTGCAATGTCTCACTGCACCGCCTGAACATATGTGCGTGCCGACCGTCCAGTCTGTCAAATCTGTCTTGCCAAGATAATCCCATAGGTCCCACGACGAGTCTCACAACCTTGGCATCACATCCCCAAAGTGCATAGGTGCCAGAAGCAGGACACTAGGAACTGGAACAGCCGAATGCTGAGCTGCCCCGACAGATCCGGAAGGAGCCGATCATTCGTTCATGTCATCCGGCGTGCATGTCAATGTAATGATACATGTCTTTTCGAACTCGGTTCTGTCGCATAGTCCAACCATGCTATTGTCAGTTGCCTACCTTATGTCTCTTAGACCCTGGAAGAGCTACCTGCTGCGAAGAGTGAGCGAAAGGCGAAAGGCCTGTTCCACATCGCTTCAGCTACGAGACCGTAGGCTGCGAAAAGCAACCAAAAGACAGGACTACAGCCGAGTGCAGGCTGCAACGCAAGCGCCGGCTCAGAGTCAAGCGCTGCGCAGCGCGCCGATTTTGAAACCGATGCTTCCCAGAGCAGCTGTCCAGAAGCGAACGGCGTGGACGACATCACCTGTCATGCACAGATTCTCCACGGAAGAAGCGAAGAATACCATCTTTGCGATGTCTGACAAAGACTGACAAAGTGCATGCACTGAGCGAAGAGTTGCCGGCGATGCGTTCCTGCTGCCGGCGCATGGCAGCGGAGATTGGTCGAAGGTCCTTGAAAGCTTGCTCTTGGATGTTCCAGGATCAGAAGATCAGAATGGAAGGCCTGCAACAGTTGCTCCAAAATCTGTGCCGCGCTGGCCTCGGCGTCTCCAACTGTAAGCAATGGGCTATCAGCTTCCTCCAGTTGTAGAGTAAGCACCTGCAGCCCACCTACCTGCGCCTGTCTGGCTAAGTAGGACGCGAATCGAAGCAAGTGTGGTAGAGTCACCTCAGGATGTGAAGACGGCAGAATACGGCAGAGGGCCAAGCGTTTTGAGTTCTGGGACTCTCACCCAGTGCGTCAGTTGTGTCCAAGCGTCGACCCCTCGCCAGTCCCTTCGGTCAAACCTGGCGCCGGGCAGTCTTTAGGCCTACGGCCTACGGAGGGAAGAGATGGGACAGGGAGGCGGGAGGCGGGAGGAGCTAAGCAAGCAGCGGATTGTAGCCGAGGTGTGGCTTCTCCGAGTGGAAGGCTCCTGTGATGGGGGATCCCAGACCCGCCGCAGAGTCCACTGCACTCCGAGCTCCCGACCGATGCCGGCGCCCGGGAGTGTGTGATCAAAGTCCTGGCATGCAGGACGTCTCAGTCTACTCATCGACCCCTTGCTAGCAATGCTCGCCGGGACCAACAACCAAACATGTCTGGCCTACCGAAACAACAAACCATGTCGAGCACTTCTGCGCTACACAAATTTGGAGTGCTACAAACAGCAAGACCATACAGTCACGGTCCTTGACTGCAAACCCTTTAACTCTCGACCCTGCTTCTCCCGACAGATCCCGACAGCACACTCCAAAACCTTCCAGAGCGCGAAATGGAAACGCCAGCAATTCCTGGAAATCCTGAAAAATCATTGAAATTCGCACGGCAATCCAGAATCCATCAACAAAAACCCTGTGCGCAGACAGTCGGGAGGAGAGTCGAGGGAAGGCCCGCTTTGCGTTGCTGCTTTGGGATTGACCCAGGCCGCCTCTGCTGTACCCCAGCACATTCGTGCGCAGTCTTTAAAATGAACTTCAGAATTCACCTCAGACCCCAAGAAACACATTTGCACGCCTTCCCAGGTGAAAACTAATACCCCCTGCCCTTGCCTCGATGGACGTGAGACCGCGGTAGATGTAACTGGCCAGCTGGGGGATCTCCGGCCTGTCCGTCTCACTGCAGCAACTTCATATCACGAAACAAAACCAGCAGATGCAATAAGCAGCAAGCACGAACAGCGGAACTGACAGCGCGTAGAGCTCGTATAAGCGCATTTGAGACCTCGGCACTGGTGAAGCGCCGCAAGTAGACTGGGGAAGAAGAGCCATGTCGTCACCACAGCGACGGCACAGACCACGAGAGGCCGCTGCACATCATACGGATAAATCACTGCCGCCTCGAAGGATGCAATGGCCTGGATCCGCCGGGGCAGAACGGCATGGATCGATGGATCGGCATGGCAGCGGCAGTGAAGGCTGCAGCCTCCGAGGATGCATCTGGAAGCTCCTGCGCCAGAGACTCATGGCGCCCTCATGGCCCTCATTCGCCCTCGCCCTCGCCGTTCCCTCGTTCCTCGCTGGCTATAAAGTACAACTGGACGCTGGCTCCTGAAGCCTGTAAACCGTCGGTTCAGCAAGTTGCACGACAAGGCGCGACAAATGACTATTGCTCTTGCGTGCGCTGCTCACTGTCCGCCTGCTTGGACTCCAGGTCCTTCTTGTTCAATCGGACCTGATGCAAAACAGCAGTCCTGAAACTTGAGGCGGCGATGCGGACTCTCAGGCTCGAACTAATGTATTGAGAATGCAAGCAGAATTCCAGAACATGCTAGGTTGACGGACGACAACCACCTGCACTCCACGGCACTCCATGTCTGCATTCACTGTCAGAGTCTCAGCATTTGCCACACGTGCGCCTGCCCCGGTGCTGCCAAGCCTCGCCTCTCTGGTGCTCTATGGTGCTCTATTTGTTCTATGCACAACCAGCACATTGCTACTGCCTGCAGTCGAGATGCCTTGGACCCATGTAGGCTGCCAGCGGTCGTGAAGCGAAAATTCGGTCGGCGCCGGTCTGGGCACAGCACAAATCGTGTGAGAATTAACGGATTCGTTCCTGCCATCCTGCCACAGAGTGAAAGTGCCAATGCCTGAAATCGCATTTGCTCTGCCAAGAACCTGCCGTCGCCGAGCAAGAACATGCACATGCCACACACTTCAAGGCGCTTCAGGCCGAACCTTGTGTTGGCCACAGCTAAGAACGGTGCCGTGCCTTAGCAAGCCAGACAATCCATCTATTCTGACATGTGACAAAGCAACTGAGGAACAGCGTCCTGGGAGTTCTCCGCGTGTCAGACTTAGAAAGTCCGCAAGCCAGGCTTGTGCAGATGCTGCTGGGAGGTACCTGATGCAACGGACACGCTACGAAACGATCGCCCACACACAGGTACTGCTGCAAGCACACGCGGTCAGGGGGTTTGCAAAGTAGCCGATCAAAGGGTGATGTGGAAAGGTTCTGCCTTTGCTGAATCAGATGCTCGATTGGCAGCAACTTCTTTTCCACACCCCAGAGTAGAACCGCTTAAGTTGGCAACCACACCTTTTCATGCCTATTGACCTCGATGGACCTCGATGCACCTCGCTAAGCCTCGTGCCCAGTGCATTGCAGAGAAAAGCAGGCTCGGTGCACAGGAACACGTCGGCTCCTCAGTACAAGGCCCACCACACATTCATGTAGCACTCCGGAGCACTTGGCCCTTCACGATCGATGCGAGAGTCTATATCGCCACGATAGGGGCCTTCCAACTCCACATTCTTCGCGTCAACAGCATTTGAGCTCGAAGTGTATACTTGCTAAACTACCTGTCAAACTTGGTGCCTTGAAAGATGGCGACAAAGTCGTCAAGGAGTGCTGACGAGTCCTGAACAGCGGCATCTTCGTGCGTCACTTTGGAGAATTTGACTGGTCCTCAATCACCGGGCATGGAAGCCTGGAGACGGGCAGCGTGGCCTTGCGCAGTGCCCGAAAACTACGAGCCAAAGTCGAAGCATGTCGAACCTTCTTGAAGTGCTTCTGGTTCAGGCCTTGCACATTCCAAGCCAGGACAGTGCCAGAACACGACACCAGTCATTGTCAGCATCTCTTCAGCAGCTAAGGATCAAGCTCAACAGCCGCATATCCCAAGCACAAAGGTCTCCGTAAGCGCTGAAGTCTTTGCAGACGCTCGCAGCCCGAACCTGCGAAGCATGACAGACTAGTAGATACTAGTGGCATGAAGTACCGCGGGCCGAGTCCACCCTCCTGCGCTGCTTCGCCCAGCCCTGGTTCCAGCACATGGAGGGCGAAGTGGAAGTGCTGCCTTGGATTCCGTCGCCGTCCAAAGGAGGAAGCAGATTCTGAGCAAAGGGCCCGGCTCAGACAGGAACTCCTGCCACAGCGACACCAGCTCAAGCCTGATAGAACGGGACGCAAAGTTCACACCGGACTGGACCGGACTGAGGGAGTCGAAGCAATTGCTGCCATCTCGCAAGAGTGGATTCTCAAGACATTGCAGGAACAGCAGGCGGAGCACTGAGGCACGAAGAAGGCAGAATCGTGCTGCATCTGGATTCAACTTATTGCTTGATCAAGCTGTCACGATTCCCAGGGTAGCGGAGAATCCCAGTAAGTGGCCACGCCCGATTGCCACATGGCACGGGATCAGCAAGGAATGCTTCCAGCGGAGTCCGTCTGAAGGCCAGATCGAACACATTCAAGAGCGATGGATGATGAAGTGTCCCGCTGGGGGAGGTCTCAGATGCAACCAGGAAACATAAGAGCGGAAATTGAATGCTCCTGCGAAGATCCGAAAACGAGAAACTGAAGCCGCCGGCCAAACTGTGACACATCATCAGAATCTTGCCAAACTTAGTATACCAATACAACCGGGGCTTTGGCACGAGTGTTGTATGATAGCCGATTGCCTGACAGGGTCAGCTAGACCGCGGGTGACTAGGGGTTGTGTTGTGCCGGCCGTCACGTAGATGTCTTGCTGCAGTCCGTCGAGAGAACCTGGCCAAAGACTAGTCTCCTCCTTGGATCAACTTTGCCGATGGTCGGGTGCGCGGACTGTCTAGGCCGATCTCGGACAATGGCCTCGGGCAAGATTTGAGATTTCAACAGCGATGGCAGCGCTTGAACCTGCCTTTGCGGATCATCAGGAATTTTGGACCACTGCCTGCCCATTGCAAGTGCACAGAGAATGTAGAATGTGCATCTCAACACACGGCTTCCTGCCCGGTCCATCTGGAGGGTACAGATGCTTCAGCACGTCTTGGTGCGACAACCTCTGACGGTCCAGAACAAGTTCGAGGCCTACAGACTCGTCGCTGCAGTCCCACGGCCAACCGGAAGAGTCCAGGAAGTCTATGGAGTTTGCGCGGCTCATCAAGAAGTTATAAAGCCTTGGATGATCATCACTGATGCCGTAAGCACATGGCTGCACGCAACAAGGCGCCAGCAATGTCAAGGCATGCTGTCGACCCTCAAGAACGCCAGGAATGCTCCCATCCGTGTTCCTCCCGACAGCATCACCCCAAAACAGAAAGACCACGGCACTGTGTCTCGAGCCTGCTTCGATAAGCGATCGCGGTCATGTATCCATAGTAGCCTTTCGTGAAAGCGGCTCAAGTCGGGGGGAGTAGGGGGAGCCTGAGGGCATCGACATGTCATGGAGACTTAGCCCGCAACAAAAATCCTGCACCGCATAGCTGCGAATCTCACGTTCCTCGACGGTCCTTAGCAGCCACACAGTGCTGTCTCACTCTGATCCTGCGGGAGTCGACTCTATTGACATTCAACTTCAGCATGCCGAGAGGCCAGCGATCGGTACCAGTGCTCAGTCTGAAAATGCTGTCATCATCTGTCTGCGGCAACACGTACCACTTCGCAAAGTCTCGCATGATGATAGAAGACCCGCAAGTTTGGTCCTGCTGCGGCTCCCATTCACCATCTTCAGCACTGGCATTAGGATTGCCTGCCGTGCACTTATGTTTGAAAGGCCATGACTGCCATGATCTGACATGAGATAACCATGAGATGCTGAGACGTCCGCAGAGAAAGAATAGGTGGTCGGTGTTTTGGACACGCAAAAAGCTCGGCTCGATCCTACAGCCATCGGAACAGTGTACGCGAACTACGACTCTACGCTGTAAATTAGTGGACTACCAGCGTGATCTGCTGTCCCAATGAGGACTAGTAATGCCTGTTAATCTTTCCCAACACAAGACAGAAGTGCCACACAGAGGTACTCCGTCCTTTCGAGCAAACCTTGCGCCCACCACCAGACATCTTCCTGAGTGTGACCAAGAGCCTCTGTCGAGGGATCGCTACAATAACTCTCCATGGCCTGGCCTGGTACTCTCCCCCTATCACTTCCAGCGCTTTTCTGAAAGTCGTCCTGACGACATCAACGAAAGGGGCCACACCGCCGAACGGCTCTTTGTCTGAGGAGGCAACCACTCCCGACTATGGCGACAATCGAGGTACCACGGAGCATTCCATCCCTGCAGATCAATGACCGTTGACGGCGGGCTTCCCACAGTTGTTGACACTACAACTACGACAGTGGGACGGACCTGACAGAGTAGCATGAAAAGCGGCACGCGGGTCAAATGCCATGGCCGCATCATGCTTCATGCATGCTGACATATTGTCATAAGGGTTCCCCAAGCCTTCACGACGTAGGTATTCAATTTCTTGAGCAGCAAGACTGAACATTTCCAACGGACAGGACACAACCGTGGCACATGGGCAGTGCAGTATGGAAACACTAGGCTGAGCTGAACGTCTGGCCCACAGCACTGTCAGTGATCAAATCTTCGGGCAACCGATAGTCTTTGTGCAGCTGGGTGTTTTCGATGCGCATCGGCTGGCTTGCAGTAAATATGTACACCGTATATCTACATGTGCGATACCTTTGAAAAGGCATCTTGGCAACTCGGCAAACGAGGCACAGACTTGAAAGCTTCTGCGCAGCCGGTATCCGAAATGCCGCCAGCACCAAATTCTGATGGCTCAAGACCAGTCAAGCTGTGAGAATTCGACATGTCGTAGCTGTGTGCACAATCTGCACGTACTACTGCTTCCAAGAGGCTCGAAAAGCTTTGGCTGAAATCATAATGCAAGCACATGTTGGACGATGTGTCCTGTTCATAATTCAATACTCAGCCCATAATCCATACCTGGAAGCATAGACTGCCTGGAGGTGCGAGGCTTAGACAGCTTGCACGTACGTGACGGAAGCCGAACCCCGCATCGGACCGTGTCTGAAGCAGGTGGTCAGATGCACGCTAGCCAGTCTGAAAAATGCCAAACGTGGCATCCTTGAAACAATACGAAAGCTGCTGGCATGGCGACCAAAGCCTTCAGTCGAGTGGTATTGCATGTTGCGTTTAATCGCGCTTGCATGACGACCTTGCGAGCCGTATAAAATCTTGCAAATGTGCAGTGTCAAAAGATGTTGCTGTTGTGGTATGCGCCCACAGCTGATCAGGCTCAAAAGGCCCATCTCGTGAGTGACAACTTGAAGTGTCAAGCTCTGCTACACCTGGCATCGATGCACAAGGCTTCAAGCCCGACATCGAGCTACTGTCTGCGCGGTCACTGTTCCTTCGTCAAGTCTCCAGAGGGCTAGCGGCCACTCACCGGAGTTCCACACACGTCTTCCAGCTCACACTCCTCCCACAACCAGAGTGATTCTGGAGCGATGTGCGAATACGCGCCAACCTACAGAACTCTATCCAAAAAAAGCTTCTGATGCGTTCCCGGTGTCATACAGCTCTGCGAGCGCCGGATGCCTCCTTTTGATTAGGCTGACATCAGCACCCGCCTCACATGCTCACTAGCGGTGATTTCAATCTCTAGCAGATCGACTCCATTTTCTGTGACACGCTAGACACTGAAGAAACGGCAATGCCGTACCTCCTACTTTTTTGGACACATTCCAAACGTTGCATTTGATCCCTCGCCATGTCTTTGCAACATCACGCACAGGTATGCACAGGGCCCAGGTCTGGATACAGATTCTGTGCTCTTCCCTACCAGCTTACCAGTACCAACCGGAAAGGCGAGTGTGCATCCTGTTTGCTGAACTACCTGCATGACCACAACATGCGCATCACTCGCTCAAGATAGAACTGTATAGTATAGCCATCGTAAGGTCTCGACATCGAGAAGAATGCGCACCACATCTTTGTTATTGGCTTGGAGCGCGCAACAGAGAGGATTCCAGTCGTGCGGACTGGCAAACTCGTTGATGGAAGCATTTTTCTCAAGCAAGATCTTCACGATGTCGCAGTCGCCAAGAGATGCTGCAAACATCAACGGCGTCCTCGCTCCAGCGTCGCAATGCCAAAACTGCCAACTATACTGAGTGCTCGATGCAGCCCAAGGATCCAGCCACTTTGTGGCTCCTTGCAGTCCACCTCTGCACCATGCGCAAGAAGGGTCTGCACGGCGTTGTAGTTCCGGCGTTGCGTCGCCTTTACAAACTTCGACGGTGCATCGCCATCTGACCACATGCATGCCCCTTCTAATCACGTCTAGTCGTACATCGGCGCAGATGGGCTGTGCCACAATGACTTTGACTTAAGACAAACAGGTAATTAGATACATAGACAGAAAGATAGATAGATAGATATGTCTATATATCCCTCTTTCTCCTGGGAAATCTTAAAAATTGGTGGCGCGGCTGCTGCGAACCAAAGGCAGGGCAATAGCGACAAAGCCCATCCTTCGGCAGGACATGAGGCACCCATCACCCAACTTTCCCAAAAACCAACTGTCCCAGGACAAGTTAACGATCTGGCGCATGCCATCCACGCCAAAATGAAGCCAGAGTCAGCTGGAGGGCACTGGGTGGGCAGCAAAATTTGTACCAAAGTGGCCCGCACCACGGTGCGGGCAGCACGGAGGGTACTCCCCAGATTGCGCCTCACGGCGGCAGATTCCTTAAAAGTTTGGAATTTTTTGAGCATAGCAGTGTTTCGTGCGTTTCAAAGCTCGGAAAAATGGTTTTTTTTGAGTATTACAGTGGTTTGTGAGGTTCAGGCCACGAAACACTCACGAAACACTGTAATGCTCAAAAAATTTCAGAAATTCCAAAATTCTGGCATGTATGGCCAGGCCGGGGGCAGATTCCTTAAAAGTTTGGAATTTTTTGAGCATAGCAGTCAGTGTTTCGTGCGTTTCAAGGCTTGGAAAAGTTGATTTTTTATTCCCTCCGCCCTTAGTTCTTTTTATGCCACTTGGGTTTTCCGTGTTTTGATCTTGGCTACGGCCTTTCACCACGGCGTTGCATTGCAGAAATCACCAGAGTGTAGACGGCACAGAGCCTGTTATTGCTCCTTGAGGGTTATCTCCTTCTAGGCACGCTGCTTTCGTCTAGTGTTTCAGATTGTGAACGTGCGATGCAGCTTCGCGAGGTTTAGGCTAGCGCTGAAGGGGCAAACGCCCCGCACATGCATGGGTCTCGCGTTACAAGTCGAATGTTTGTGTTTGTGACGCGCCTTTTGCTTACCGGCAGCATTACAGCAGTGCCACGGTGCTTTGGGCTTTGCCGTTTCTGAACATTCCAGAAGCGATGAACAGGTTCCATATTCAGGCCTTGCCAGCTGGTTGGATGAACGCCAAACCCACGTACATCTTTGCCATGCTGTATTCCATATTTACATCTGATATTGAAAGTTTCTCTGGGGATTTCTACAGTGATCGTGCCCATATTCAAGCATTGGACATGAGCGCAAAAGCTTCTGCTCACATGATTCTCGAGTCGTTGCTTCATGATCTGCATTGCCGCCGACCCCCACAAAAATCGTGGAATCGACTCCAGCTCATGAATCCAATTTTGGTGCGTTGGTTTTTCCCTTCTTCACACAAGTCGCACAGAACTTGCGCCCCTCTCGAAATCGTGTTGGCAACAGTTGTATCAGCGAAGAGTTTGTTTTGGCTCCGTTCCCCGGCAGTGGACCGTTCAAGCTCAACGAGTTCTGCGTTTCCTGCCCCCGTTGGCACGTGCGGCACCGGAATGGGGTGGTTTGCCACACTCACCATCCCGTGCTGCAGCTCTCGCATATGTCATTCGCATGCAAAAGAACTTCATCGATGGCTGCCCCGACCTTTTTGGCTTATATCAGTGGTGGACCGAGAACACCCGCTACACCGGCATAGGCCATCTTCAGCGCCCCAGTCTCCCAAGTCAGGGTGGTCTTTCAAAACGTTTGATGGAGCATTTATTTGCTACTGTTCGTCCTACGTCTCCAGAAGGCGGCAAGCTGCGGTACCGTCTTGCACGCAAAGTGTCACCTGAATCATCTTTCTTCATGATCGTTGCAGTTGGTGCGGAAAGTTGTATTCGAGCCCTGGAGACCTTTGACATCCGTGCTCATGGCCCTCGCAGCAATGGACGACAAAAGAAGACACCGTCCCCGACTGTCACTTGTTACGTTCGGAAACGACCTCCAAAACCCTTGCGAGCCAACCCTGGTCAACCTGACCCTTCCAGAACCGTGAATATTTTCAATCGCTATTGCCGCGAACATACTCTGCAGATATCCGTGAGGGAAGGCCTTGAGCAGCCCCAGTTTTGCCCATGGAACTTCAGTTTCAAGGATGCCTGTCGTCTTTTCCAGCAGCACCTTCATGCATATTCTGGTTTCAGAGGTCCCCTGGATATCTTTGAAGATCGTTTCAGGCCCTTGTTTATGTTGTTCTTGGCTACAAGCAAGTGCACTTTCGCGTGGAAAGATGCAGAGTCTTTTGACAGAAATGCTGCTGTTCGTTGTGCACTATGTTTGAGGAAACTTCCGAAGTCACATCAGCGCACTATGGCGAGATGGGTTTTGGATCCTTGGCTTATGGCAAGAGGCTATTGGACAAGCAAGTATATACGGTCGTGGTGCCACATGTATGTTTCACAAACTTGGTGCATGCACATATTGCTGAACTCTCAAGAGTTGCCTCGCATGGACATGTTTTGGCCGCCAAGTGGATGCCTTCTCGTTTCAAGGTTGTGGTTACACGGGAAGCCTTATTTAGTGACAGATGGAACCATTCCCAACTGGCAAAACACATGAGGTTCCCTACTGCGCCCCCAAGCGTTCCGGAGGTCGCTTCTGCAAACATGTATTGTATTGACAAGAATTGGCGGGTGACAGAGCGCGTACCCTTCGTCTCGCAGGTTGGTATGTGCCCAGGACAGTTTGACGAAGCTTTTGGTGCCAGTTCTACTGCAACCTGTCGAAGCATTCCACACAAAATACCAGTTCGTCTTCATGCTCATTGGCAACATGTAAGCAACACTCAAGCCTCTTATGAGAGCTATTCGGCGGCTTTCCACAATCATGGTATCTCCGATCCTGCTTTGATCCCGGATGACAAAAACAAGAAGTTTGCGTGGGCAATGCCCAAACCAGTGTATACCCGTCTCGTTGCTAGTTTTGCTTTGATTGCCACATCATGGTGCTTGACAGCCTTGACGGCAGAATCCGCTAATGATTGGCTATTGTCGTTGCTTTGTCAAGTGTTGGGACAGTCTTTGGCTTCAAAGTTGGGACTACGTGCCACGTGTTGGCTACTACCTCATTGCTACATCACTGACTATAAAGGGTAAGTGTTGGTTTGGCGGCGTCAGAAATTGCAGAAAGCATCGTCACAGCTGTGTCCGTAAGATAATATCTTACGCCTCTTGGCCCCGACGGCGACTATGGCGAAGCCTCCATCGTGGTTGGGAGACTTTGCTAAAACATTTTGGTGACACAAGTGACGTTTGGTCCCTCAAAGACGCGGCCCATCAGTTGCATCTTATGTCGAGTCTACCTGTGAATCCTTGGCCCTCCCATCCAAGCAAGATGTTGCCGTTGCCACCGTGACATGCACGCGTTTGAAGGCATCGTGGGTGACGCCGGTCAGTTCTATGAGGTGGTAGAGGCTACTCAAGCCATCCAGGAAGCTACGGAACTCCTCCACATCTTCACTTGTTCAAGCCCTCAGCGGTACATTCCGGTAAAACACCCTTGCAGGAAGCGCCAGGCATGGTTTAGTAGTGTGGCAAACCGGTTCGCACGCAGATCTGTCACGTGGTCTTTAGAAGAGCTGTATCGTGCTTTCGTCGCGTCTATGCTGCTATGTCTAGTCAGCGTGGGGGACAAAGTTTTTACTTTGCAGTCTCTACCCATTGGGGGTCTGATGTCGAAGGTCGCAGCGAGCGTGGTACTTGGAGGGCAGGAAAGACGTTGGAAACAAAATGAGGCTCTACAAAGAAGCGAAGGTTACAGGTTTCATTTGGGTTGGAAACAAGCTGTTCTACATTTGAGGTATGTAGACGACATTTGCTTGATCAGCCGTGTGTATTGTGCACATTGCATGACCTATGCCGTCAAATCCATTTACACCGTACCTTTCGATTTCTCCTCAGATGACGATCGCAAGCTTGTTTGGTTGGACAAGAAGATCTTTTTGACCTCTGCGGAGCTCGGCCTGAACACCAAGAATTTACATCCATCCCCACCATGGTATGCCAACAGTTCGTATGTCCGCAACGTGTTACTTGGAAAGTTTCGCGGCTGGGTCGAGATTGGTCCGGTCCAAGCCGAATGGCATCGTGCCCTTTTGAGTGTATTTTATGAGTTTAAGCAACGCGGTTGGAATTACAAATCAGTCCTTTCGGTCCTGCGCAGCATCTACAAAGATGATTACAAACAGTATGCAATTTTCGGAATTTTCGCTTGGAGATTCATGCGCAACACAACGTAA